GTCACGAGTAATCGGGACTCAGTCTACCAACTACCCCTGAATAAGATATCTCTGAATGAATAGGGACTACTACTATAACTTCTTCTTAAAGGGGATCATAGATCCAAATGTTACTTCAAACTCAAACTTTACTTCTTAGTAGTAGTAACCCTAATCACCCTCCACATTTATCCGGATGTGGAAAACCGACACCGCGGATTTCTCCCGCGGTGCTCACCTCTTATAAAATCTTTACTTTTATCTTGAATTAAGATATACTTCAAAAATACTTCTCAATCTCTCTAATTAATCGCAAAGGTATTTAAAAATATTTAATACCCCAAAAGAACTTAATTTATATTTCTCAACTACAATTTATATAATATCTCCTCAAAATCACATACACAAAATTCACAATTCACACTTAATCACATAATGCATATTAAGCATATAATACGAGGAAACAATTTTGGATTGGCAGAGAAACTTACCTCAAAGTTACGCTTTTGCTCTAACTCTACTCGAAATCTAGTTCACGTCTTCAACGAATTCGCCAATCTCTCCTCGATTGGCGGTGAACGATGGCGGCGGTCAACTCCTTCAGGGACGGCGAATGTCAGGGATGGGTTGGCGGCAGCGGTAGCTCCTCCTTCTTCTCCGTTTTCCGTTTTTACGATTAGCCCGGCAATACTCCGGCAAGCTATTTCTCCCTCGTTTCACGTCCGTTTTCAACGATTCTTTCACCGTTGGATTCCTCTCGAGAAGGGGAAGGTCTCTATGGTGTTTTCACGGCTCGGTTTTGACTAAAACAAAGGGTCGAAAATATGTATATACGTATATATATGTATACGTTGCAGGTTTTGGGGTATTAAATAACTACAGGAAATGGAATAAATAACTACACATGTATAGAAACAGCTATTAATCAGTTGAAATGGAATAAATAACTACACATGTATAGAAACAGCTAGTCAAATGGTTTATTAGATCCACTTAGAATATTTTTAGTTAGATTAGTTCGAATCCCAGATCAAACCAAACACACACTAGACTAGATTAGTCTAAACAAGAATAAACCAAATCAAACTATTACAGTTGACAAATACAAACAAGACATACAATTACTAGACTAGACCAGACTAGATTTAATTAAACCATACCTGATCGGATAAGATCATACCAAATGAGACTATATAATCACACTCCAATTAAATAGGGTATTTTTAGTTTCATACCCATATTAGGCTAGATCAGAGTATCAGACTTGTACTGTTGTAAAATACATATAGCATAAACATCTATCAAACCTGATCACACAAATTCATACAAGACCAGACCAAAAAATTATAATCGAATTAAAAACGTCCTTATAAATACTATATTGATATGTAAAATATGTTTCACACAAGTAGGTGAAAAGATGTTTTTGTGATTTTTTAGAAATTGCCCGGCCGAAAGATTTGAGGTTTTTAAAAAATATTACTGAAATTACACTTATTTACAAAAATATGACAATAATTTTGTCTCGTATATAGTTATCTAAGTATAAAAATTGAACATAAATTACTAGGAGTAAGTTACTATTGTAATCAATATACTTAAGAAGATCACATTTTTTGTAAACAACATTAATTTTAGTCATGTATACGTAATCATTTCAAAGGATTTTAAAAGAAAAATGTTACAGTGTTTTGACAAAAGTTGTCTTTGATTTAATTAATTCTATTTAGCACAATAGCCTATTGTGACTAATTAATGCCCGCTAAAACTATATATAAGCTCTCTCATAATCTATTCAATACAACGTCTAAACAAGATCATATTTTTTTAAAAAAATTATAATGTGTAATCCCAAACATGAAAATAAAAGTTCTTAGATTTTTTTAAATAATACAAAAGTTAAAACACAGAAATTATGCGTACCAAACATGTTCGTAATGGCTGCATTGCAATTATTATTTTTTTTGAAAATAATACGTAGTAATTGATTTACTATATAATATAATTTATTTGGAAATAATTAAATAAAAATATTGTTTTGTTATGATATTACTATATAATGCTAAGAGAGTTTTTAAAAAATATTACTGAAATGAAACTTATTTACAAAAATATGATCAATAGTTAACATAACATACTCTTATAGTAATTTAAGTATAAAATTGTATATAGATTACTATGATTAATTTAAGAAATTGTATCTTTGTAAATAACATGTATTTTAATTATATATATAACAATATTTCTAATGTTAAATATTACGTGTTATATAATTACATATTGTGTTGGCCCAAGTTGAATATGAGTAGGAGACGACAAATGTAGAGTGGGGGGAGGGGGAGCGATCTATCTAGAGAGGCGGGAGAAGCATATGGATTTATTGGGGGGTAATATATACTCCGTATTTAGAGTTTAATATTAACAATAAGTTAAACACACTAAAGAAGGGACATTAAGGTTTTTTTTAGATCAAATAAACACCAAATTAGACTTTTCAGACCTCATCGCCCACCCCCTAACATTTCCCGTTAAACGCCTTCTCTTCCCCGTTATCACCCAGGTCCATGCGATTAGAATTTCCCAAATTCAACAACGTAACCCTAACCCTAACTCACTTCCATGGCTACTAAGTGTGAGATTGTGCGAGTGAGTTGAGAAGATTAGAAGGTGTGGAACTGCACTATCAGGGTTACAAGACGTATGACTGGTCGAAGGTAATCTTTCAGTGCTGTTTTTGTTCGTTACAATGAATGAGTTGGTTAATCTCAGATTTAACCATAGCGGAAGGTGGGTTTTGAAGCCAAAGTTACAGTATGTGAATGGGGACGCTGATACAGTTTATGGCTTTGACCCTGATTTTATGTGTTATCATGACATTTCAAGAAAATACAAGGATGACTTGGGGTTTAAAACACTGAAAAATATATATGTTTTACAACCTGGAAAGGATTTGGACAATGGACTTTTCTTAGTTCAGGATGATGACACTATAAGGAAAGTGTTAAATCGTATAAGGAGATTTTCTTGGATTGATACTATTGAACTATATGTTGACCATCAACTAGATGAACCCATTTTGATTCCCCTTATAGAAGGTTCATTTTCTGAAATTGATAAGCATGATATTGATGATGAGAATGATGGTGGGTTGGGTGATGAGTCTGCCAATACAGATTGGAGAGACCAAAGTGTTGAAGTGAACACAAGTGGTGTCCCAAATGGCTATGTTACAGATGAAGAATCAAATACAGGCTCAGAAGATGAAGAGAGCAACAATTCTGATCCATCCTCCGAAAATGATGGTACAATCACTTACTCTGCAACAGATGGGTCAGATTGTTTTATGCAAGGAATGACCTTTGCAGATGCTGAAGAGGCTAGGACTGCAATTGGTAATTATGGGGTTAAATATGGTTACAAGCTGAAAATCAAACCGAATGAGAAGAATAGACTGGCCGTTAAATGTTTGAATGAGGATGGCTGCCCATTTAGATTATGGATTTCTCAAGATGGGAAGAACTGTGGGTTGGCAGTGAAGATTTGCAACACTGAGCACAAGTGTTTCCGACACTATTCTATTCCGAGTGCTACTCAAAAGTGGCTTGCAAATTACTTTAAAAGCCACCTGCAAAGAAATCCTAGCTTTCGAGTTGCGGACATGAAAGAGGAGGCTGAGAAGAAGTTGAAGATAAATGTTAGCTTGTATAAATGTAAAAGAGCTAAAAGGTTGATTATGCAAGAAATGGATGGTAGTTATAAGGCTGAGTTTGGGTACCTAGAAGCATATGTTGCCACATTAAAGAGGAGTAATCCAGGTTCAAAAGCTGAAATTGAACTCTGTAGTGAAGCATTGAAAGAAGGGAGGAGAGTATTCAAGAGAATGTTTATATGCTTTGCTGCTTTGAGGCAGAACTGGCTGGCTTGTTGTAGAAGAATCACTGGTGTGGATGGTTGCTTTCTAAAGGGTGTTTGCAAGGGTAATCTGTTGAGTGCAGTGGGGTTGGATGGAAATGGGCAGATGGTCCCTATAGCATGGGCAGTGATTGATAAAGAAAATAAGTCAAATTGAAGGTGGTTTTTGAGTTGGCTTGTTCAGGAGCTAAACCTCAATACTGGTGGTGAGTTAACACTCATTTCTGATATGCAAAAGGGGCTGATTATTGCTGCTCAAGAGGTCATACCAGATGCAGAGCATAGGTTCTGTGCCCGACATGTGTATGCTAATTGGTCCAAAAAGTGGAGAGGCAATGAGTTCTGCAAAAAGTTTTGGATATGTTCTTGGAGCACATATGAAGAAGAGTTGTAGCTGAATCTTAAAAAGCTTGGAAAATTGAGTCAGGTATAGCCCCCCCAAAATTGCTGTTTTATTTTTAGAGCTTGTCTTTTTCTTGCTCTTGATGTAATTGTGGGAGGTATGCCTCCTTCGGAAAGGTTTTGGCCTAGTCCCCCTTTCTTTTGTACCCTCTTCTTATCTTAATAAAAACTGGTAGATGTTCCCCGGCAAAAAAAAAAAAAATTGAGCACTGAAGCTGCTTCTGACCTTTTGAAGTATCCAGTTTCTTCATGTATGTTTATGTTGTTAATAAGTTCATGTGTGTTTATATATGTTGTTTGTTCATGTATTACTCTGTATTAAGTTGTCAACTTTGTTGGTGGTGTTGATATAAATAATATTTCAATTTGGTTCTGATATTAGCCAAACTGGTGTTATCAGTACACTATGTCAATTGATTTTGGCATCAGGGCTATGCTTTTGACTATGATTTCAGTTGATGTTGGCATCAGGGCTGTGCTTTTGGCTGATTTCAGTTCATGTTGGCATGAGGGCTATGCTTTTGACCTCCTGCTGCCAAACTTATGTTATCCGTACACTATTTAATTTGGGTGTGACAAACTAAATAGTAAAAACTGAAGTGTAAAAACTCATTAGATCAGGGCTATGCTTTTAACCTCCTGCTGCCAAACTCATTCTCTGAAACTAAAGTGTAAAAACTGAAGGCTATGCCATTACATTTCTGTCCACATACTTTACATAGTAATACAACCAAACCAACTTATTAAAAACTTATAACAACAACATGTTTTTTCTTATTAACAACCAAACCCACTCAAGGCTCCATCCTTCACCAGATCAGGGAGGAATTCAAGCCAATTCTTAACAACAATTCCAAATCAGTACTGCATACAAACACAAATAATACAAGAAACTAAAACTAAAACTAACATACAAACACACATACTACTACAACAAGGACACAAAACAACACTACAATAACACAATTCTTCTTCATTTTGGTTTTTCTTTCCAATTCCAGATGGACTGCATCCTTCCTACTGTTGACTTCTTCTACTTCACTCTCCAACTTTTGAGCAAGACTATCACATTCCAGTTCAAACATTGCAGATTGCAGTCTCCTATTCCCCCATTTGAGCTCATTGATAACATGCATTGCTCTGTCCGTTAATGGTTCATCATGCCATTCAAAGAAGCCACATCCATCCTTCTGAGTATACATCAAACACAAGAGTATGAATATCAATATGAATATAAATAAAATATACATATTCATGGTCTTCTCCAGTTCTCATATGTGAAAAGAATAATTAAAGGCATACCTCATAATAACGACATCCATGAAATCTTCTCCCCGGATTCTTGTCAGTCCATGAAGTCCAAAGTGACGCCTTGACGCGAGTTCCATTTGCATTCATGCATCTGCAAAATCTTGAACGCCCAGTATACGGTCGCTCATAGATGTTTCGAAGCTTCACAGAATCATCGGACTCAGATTTCCGTGCCTCAGACGACCTCGATGCTGAAGGAGTATACGACATCACTGCTTTCTTCTTCGTAATCTGTTTGAGATTGTATCAATTAGGGTTGTTGAATTTGGGAGATTCTAATCGCATGGACCTGGGTGATAACGGGGAAGAGAAGACGTTTAACGGGAAATGTTAGGGGGTGGGCGATGAGGTCTGTAAAGTCTAATTTGGTGTTTATTTGATCTAAAAAAAACCTTAATGTCCAATACGCACTTCATTAAAAACCTCAGTGTCCATTTTGGCCCTTTTCCCCACTAAAGAAACTCTCTAAATAGGATTAAAAGAAGGATAAAATTTATAAATAGGACTATTATTTCATTTGTTATTTTTAAAATATGATTCATTCACTCTCATTTTGGAAAGTTTTAATCTGACTTTTTTTGCAAATGTTTTAATCTTACTTATTCTTTTGATATGATTAAATAAGTCTTATTTGAGGAATAAACATACGTAGTCCTATTTTTAACTTTGTTTATGTTCTAGTCTTATATTGAGCAATTTCTAAAACACATATTAGTACATATAAAATATTATTTATTTATTAAACGTATTCTTTAAATAATACTCCATTCGTTCCAATTTATAAGATATACTTTTTTTGGTTTAATAAAAAACATGAATACTTTTCTGTATTGAACTTCACTAACATTTTATTTTTCTTTTTCTACTTTATTTCTTTTGTACATCATTTCACCATTTATTTTTTGAGAATGCACTTCCTTACTTTTTAAAATTGTAAAATATTCATTGTAGTTTTTAATTTCTTAGAGTTTGATCAAAGCTGACATGTATCTTATACTCCCTCCGTAACTTAAAAATCTTCTCACTTTCCTTTTTCGTCAGTAACACAAAAATCTTCTCATTTCTAAATCTTCCCATTATACCCTCAATAATTCTTAAAACAATACACTATTACAACTACTTTTTTGGGATTTATCCTACATTCCACCACATTATTTCACTATTTTCCCATCATACCCTCAATAATTCATATCATCTTTCACTATTCTTAATCTACTTACTTTTAAAATGGGAGTATCTTATACTACGTATATATTGTGGGATGGAAATCGCACCAAGTAAATTAATCAATCATCATATACGATGTATGATGGTATTAGGTGAGACCAACCTGGGCCCACCTACAAAAAGCAAGCGAGCCGGAAGACGGGCTGCATCTATAAGTACGCCCCGACCCAAGGTCTCAGATTGTGTATTTTTTGTTTGGGCCAACTCATTAATTAAGCTCTTGGATTTCCACTTTTGTAGCGTACAGTACGATCGAGAGAGAAGGAAGATGAAGACAAACTGCTCAACTACAAAACTTACCAATGTCATGCTTTTGCTGACCATATGCATCATCATAGCCGCCTTATATGTACCAGCAGCAATAGTGGCAATAAGCGAGGGCGGTCACGGAGGCGGAGGCGCTCGCGGGGGCGGGGGCGAGGAAGAGGGCGGGGGTACGGGTGGCCGCTCAGGCGTGTATCCCGGAGGCCGTAATAATAATAATGATGGTTATAGTAATAAAGATAAGAAATCTGATAGAGGTTTACTCATCGTCATGCTTAGTTTACTTGCTTTTGTAGTATTATTAGTAATAATTGTCTCTTGTATTCGGCGTCGGCGGATATTTTGAACTTTTATAAATGTCTGGTGTGGCTTGTCTACATGGACTTACTTAGAGCATCTCCAATGATAAAATGTGCACGGTGCACACGTGGCATGAAAAATAACCACATAAATATTAGGAAATAAATTCTTTCTCTCCTTATTTGAATGATTTTATACAGTTTTGGTAAGTTTTTCTCCACACTGTCAAGGAGACCGTCTAGATGTTGACATTGTTGTAGACATTGCAGGGAAAAACTTACCAAAATTGTATAAAATCATTCAAATAAGGAGAGAAATAATTTATTTGCTAATATTTATGTGGCTATTATTCATGCCACATGTGCATCGTTGACATTATAGCATTGGAGATGCTCTAATTTAGGGATTCTCTTGAGAAAGATGTGGTTTTTTTACAAGCTCTTAATGCCAGAGCTTATTTGTCCAAATAAGCTTTTGTTTTCTGTGTCAAATAAGCATTGTTTCTGTTTCTGGTTTTGCTTATTTCTGTTTTGGCAGAAGGGATTTTCTTCTTCTTTTGTTTTTGCTTGATAAGCAACGATTGCTTTTTGCTCCGTAATTGAATGCCTGGTTTCTAGTTAGCATTTTTGTTGTTTCTGTTTTTTTTCCTGATTAATTTGTTTTCAGAACTACTTTGAGTTCTTGATACAATGGTTTCTGGTTTTAGACTATGATTACTTAAAACCGTCAATGGGATATTGGAATTGGTTCTACACAATGAGATTGATACTCACTAATCACCAATCACATTCTTATTAATACTATTGTGAATATGAGATTAATACTCCCACCGTCCCAATTTGATTTTCCTGTTGCGCTTTACAATGCTTGACTGACGATAAAGCAAACAGATCCGTACCCGCACTCAAATTTTTTTAAGAAAAAAATAATTATATATTCAGAAACTACATTAAAATTTTTACAAAGTCGCAAAAACCTGAATCAAATTTGATAAAAAATTGATATATAATGTAAGAGATTAAAAGTGATTTGTGTTGACCAAGTGAATATGAACTGTGAACATCAAATTGGGACGGAGGTAGTACTAAACAATACTTCGTAGAAATTTAAAAATATGAGGATGAATTGAAACTGGTGAAGCTTTTGATAGCCCTTAACAAAGTCATGACCTTGAACTTTTTGATTTATCACTATATGCATTTGCTGCAATTTATTTGGGTTCCATTAATTGATGTGTTTTTGCTTAACTTCATAGTCATATACGAATATGAAGTTTTGTGCCTTTTGTGCCTTGACATCAATTCTTGTTGAACTTTCAAGAGTGTATTTGTAAATAAATTGTAGGTCACAGTTATGAAGTTTGCAACTTTTGCACCAGAATGTAGTACTGATAATGATTCACACAATACCCCATTATCATACAAATCAGATGAAAAGTATATGATTCTCTTGATTAAACGTTGTCAATTAATTATTAATTTATCCATAAAAAGAGCAGCTAAAACCCCCAGGTCTTATAGACTTGTTGTGGGTCAAAGAAAAAAATTACCCGAAACTAAAGCTTACCTTTACTCTTCAAAAGAAACTTTTTATCGATACATGTATGAACAAGTCGAACAACACAGTTGATAAATATTAGTCTCAAAAGAATCTACTCCGCTAGTCTTTATCCGAGTGAGTAGTTAGTATTACAACTCCTGAGGGTGTGTTCTAAACCGTGGGGCGCGCGGCTTTGTCCACGGGGGCGTAGACCTCTTTTGAACCGTTTTCTTGCTCTTTTTTTCTCCGTCCAATCCCGATTGATCTCATCATCATTCTTTGACCTATTTTGACTCAAGTTATGCTCCTTAATCGTCCCGTGGACCTTCAATGCTTCTTGTCATCTCTCGAAAGTGTCCCAAATATTCTCAAATTAAACTCTATCGCCGATGTCGGGTCCAAATTCCTGATTTTCTCAACAAATGCAAACCAAATCCGGTAAACCGTGACTTGAGCTAATTAAACGATTTGTAACTCAAATAGATTAGGAAAAGTGGCAAAACTCAATCCCAATACGCATCAAATGCGTGTTGAAATACGAACTTATTACTACCCTACCATTTGCGATCATCCCAGACGCAATGCTGCTACCCGTTTTTCGAAATTTGGCTCCGATTTTTACTCAAACAAGAAATGAAAATATTTAGAAGGTGAAAATGACCTTTAATTTTAGGAGTCAACTTCATCTTTCGGAGCTATTATTATGCTCACGACTACCAACTACACGCTATGGCAAACTGGGATGAAAGATTTACTTAGTTGTAAACATCTTTTTTATCCAATAGAGATGAAGAGTATTAATCTTGATCCACCCAAGTCCATGGAGTGAAATAAAATTAATAGACAAACGAGATAAGAGTCAGGTTGATACTCGAAGTTGCATAAAAAGGGTCATCAAATAAGACCTTACTTTCCGGTCGTCGCCATTTGGGGTGGTTCCCGGTGGAATTTTTTGATGAATTTTTTGAGTATCTTATTCATTAAGTCTAGTTTACTCATACCAAATTTCAGCTAAAACTTCAATCGGGAAGGCATTCAAATGAATTCTTGAAGATAACTGTGCTTTTAACTGCGCAGTTATCTTCAAGAATTCATTTGAATGCCTTCCCGATTGAAGTTTTAGCTGAAATTTGGTATGAGCAAACTAGACTTAATGAGTAAGATGCCTCAAAAAAATTTGTCAAAAAATTCCATCGGGAACCGCCCCAAATGGCGACGGCCGGACAAAACATCTTATATAAGGACTTATTTGACCCTTTTTATGCAACTTCGAGTACCAATCTGACCCTTACCTCATATAAAAACTATTGTTCAAATCCGAGAACGGATTGACCATAGTGTCTTCCACCATGTTGCACTAGAAATTGACGCTTATGCCCTTTGGAAGTAATTAAAAGATATGTACCAGGCCAAGATCGCTCAGAATAAGGCCCTACTGATGAGACGCTTTGTCAATATGAAGCTCAAAAGTGGAACTTCTGTTGCTGAACACATTAGTGATCGAGTTTTAGAGTCTGGTTATCAACTATCTTGTGTAGAAATGCCACTTGGAGATGAAATGCAATCTCTAGTCTCTACTACTTCCTAGTTCCCTACCTCGTAGTTGGGAAATACTAGTTCTTACTCTTAGCAACTCAGTCCCAAATGGCAAACTTATCATGTCTATGGTCAAGGATGCATTGTTTAGTGAAGAGGCAAGAAGCAAAGACATGAACACAATTAGACTCATGCCATTGTGACGGAAAATCGAGGAAGACGACAAGGAAAGTAAGAAAGAAACATCAGAAATAAATGGAAAAACAGAGGAAAAAATAAGGGGAGATCATTGGATGGCTGAAAAACTTTTTATATAGTTGTACCCATTGCAATATAGGGGGCGGATGAAGAAGAATTGCTACAAATGGCTGGACCAGCAAAGCAAGAGCAATTCCCTCATTAATTTTACTCTATTTTTTCTTTTTTTCATCATATTTGGGTAAGGTTTGGTCCCTCCAAATGCTTTTATTTTCCTTCTCATGTATTTAGAAGAGGTATGCCGCTTCTGGAGAGGTTTTGGTCGATCTGGCCCCCTCTCCTTTTGTTTTCTCTGGTTATTTAATATCTAATAAAATAATGGTAAATGCCCCCCGCATTTGCCCCACTGATTTTGGTGGTTTGCCTTCCGGGTTAAGAAAAAAAGAACAAGGATGGTGAAGTGCTCATAACAATCTCAGGTGATGTAGTGTACTTCATTATCCATGATGAAACATGCCTTCACGTCTCAAGAGATGACACTGAATTGGTGGTAGATACTGCAACATCCTACCACGCAACTCCCCGCAAGTACTACTTCACAACATACAAGGCTAGTGCCTTCGGAACGGTAAAGATGGGTATTCCATTTCATCTAAAATAATCGGAATTGGTGATGTACAAATAAAGACAGGTACTGGGAGTATAATCACTTTGAACTTTGAAGGATGTTAGACATGTGTCGGATCTTCATCTCAATCTCCTATCAGTGGTATCTCTTGAAGGAAAAGGGTATGAAAACCATTTTAGGAGGGGCACATATATGGAAAATGACTAAGGGCATTTTGACAATCGCTCGAGGACATATATGTGGCACATTGTACAAAACACATTTAAGAATTTGTACAGGAAACCTCAATATTGCAGAGGAGGCTTCTCAAGATTTGTGGTACGGACTACCTTGATGAAGAAGAATCTTATCAACGTTGATAAGAACACTGCACTAGGTCCTTGCATTCATTGTCTATTTGATAAGCAACATAGAGTACCATTTAATTCTACTTCAACTAAAGATCAGAGTTGTTACATTTGGTACACTCCAATGTCTGAATGACTCGGTGGAAGCAGATCAATATTTTGTTTACTTTTATCGACGATGCTTCTCGGAAAATGTGGGTGTATTTTCCGAAGACAAGGGACTAGATGTTTGAGTGCTTCAAGTCATTTCAGGTCTGGATGGAACGTGAAACATGAAAGAAGCTGAAATGTCCATGATCTTATTTTTGGAGTAGAAAGATCAACATTTAACCTTTGGGTGGTGGTGGTGGTGGTGGTGGTGGGGGCATATTGCTTACCCACTCACATATGTAACAATGTCATCCCTTTTCCATCATCTTCATTAATTTACTAATTTAATGTTTATCTATTTTTTTTCGTGATTATTTAATTTTATCCTTTTTATATGATAGAGTTGGTTTTTACAATTTAATTTTATCCTGTCATTTCCATATAAATATATAAACCATCAAGTATAAATCAAGGATAACACCGTTACGACGTTACATCCTTGAGTAGGTAAGCAATATGCTCCCAAAAGGTTAAATGTTGACCTTTGTGAGTTCTTGCTCATAAAATAACTTTAACGTCCAATGTGCTTCTTGGTCTAGACTTTAGTGATCAATATGCTCCCTCCCTTATCACAACGTTGCAATGATATTACGCAATTATGCAATCTCATATAATAATATCAAAATGTCGTTAGTGAAAAAATGTCAAAATTTACATTATACTGTAACAATGTTATTACATGTCACCGTGTTACATAAAAATGTCACTATTAGAATGCTATCAACGAAAACAATGCCACAATACTAAAGAGTAAGGGGGTGTTTGGATCTGATTCTCAAAACTGATTCTGCTCCTTCAGGGAGCAGGAGCAGAAGCTGGAGTGTTTGGCTGAAATTCCAGAAGCACTTCTGGTGCTTCAATTTACTCTCAGAATCAGTTTTTTTTAGAAGCTGGTAGGTACCAACTTCTGAAAACTGATTCTGCTTCTGCTTTAAAAAAGAAGCAGAAGTAGAATCAGTTCCAAATACCACTAATTTCCTTGCAGCAAAATTTATTAGACCTATTTTTTTTTAAAAGGGTCCAAGGCCAGCGACCTGTTACGTTGCCGGTCTAAGAAAGTAGCAACAAAATCTTGCCATGGCTTCGATCCACCATTCACATCAGGGGCTGAGGGAGCTTAGATGAGTCGATGATATCATTCAGAAGAAAATTGATAAGTGGATTGAAAGGGAAAGCTGTGCAATTCAAATTTACTGTCGTGGAGATTATTAATCAAGCTGTTAATCCTAAAATATAACTTAACAGTCCTATTGCTGTCAAGACTCAAGACACTATATACATTATTGGGAAGTAGTACACAGATCATTTTCAGTTTTTCATGCAATGAGATAAGATTTCATTGAAGATGTTTTTGAAGTGTAAGAATTTTACTATAAATAGTTGCAAAATGAAATTATTTTTCTGCTTACTGTTAAATGTTAATGAAACTAAACATTAAAGAAATCTGCCGAAATTAAAGAATGACAACACTAGCTAGTAAAATAGAACTTTGTTTGGTTGTACAAAAACCCTACTGCAAAAAGAACCTATCTTTGGAAAAAGAAATGACTGAAATATATAATCCGACATCCGTATATATATACTTTGAAAAAGAATTACTCCGTATGTATTTCATAGAAATAACAGGAACACTCTCAATCTCTCATAAGCTCACGCACCTATCTTTTCAAGGTTTTCCGACACCGTTTTCATCCTTGGCCGAACTTCCGGATCTTCCTCAGTGCATGCAAGTGCCACTTGAAATACTGCTACTATGTCCTTCTTGGCCTGTACTTCTTGTAGCAGCATAGGATCAACCAAATCTGACAGAGGATTCTGTTCTTCAAACCCTCTCCTTACCCACCTCACCAGGTTTGGAATCCCAGCGGAGGTGGAAGTGGTTGAAGGCGAGAGCTCTGGCGGCTTTCCGGTGAGCAATTCAAGCATGACCACCCCAAATGAGTAAACGTCCCACTTGTGTGTAGGCTTCTCGGCAGAGACTCGAGCTTCTGGTGCTTGATAGCTGTTGGGCCGATCCAGTTGGGCCGACTTCATGTAAGGAAGGGCTCCTCCCATGAAGCCGCCAGAAGATGAAGGGTTGTTGCCTGTGATGCTGATCAGGCGGTTGAGGCCGAAATCCGAAATATAAGGTTGGAAGTCATTGTCTAGGAGGATGTTGGACGGTTTTATGGCTGCATGAACGAATTTTCTTGGATTGCATTCGTGGAGATAAGCTAAACCCTTAGCTGTTCCTTTTGCAATTCTCAGCCTTGTAGACCAGGTTAGATTTGGTGATGGCTGACCATTCCGCCCTGTCCAATGAAATGAGATTTAGACTTTAGATCAATGTGGAGTTGGAGTACACAATGTTCAGAATTTGAGAGGTGAATCCAGCATATTGTTAAACCCATAGCATGATAGCAATACAGTCAAATTCCTTCCAGTTCAGAATAAACATCATTTTGTAGGAAAATTTTGTATCCCCAATTAAACACTGTTAAATGCAGGGGCAACCCCAGTGGAGTTAGTTGATTGCATAGGACTAGCAACCGTGATGTTGCAACTTGCAAGTAGCACCGAAGTTTCCTACTTCAAAAACCCTATGCAGAATTATGTTTCAATGACATTTAACTTTGTTGTTACAAAAGGTGGAATCTCCCACCCTAGGAGCCCACACCCCGATCTGACAGAATGGTGGAGTAGGAAGTCACGGTGACTTAGTCGGTCCAATGGTGGTAGGCCTTATACCCGTGCGCACCAGAGGTCCAACCCAGCACGCAGGAGCTGTAACCTCCACACGGCCGCTGCGGGTTTGGATCCTTGGTCGTTGTTCCAAATTTCCCACCAATGAACCAACTGAGCTACCCATGCAGGTTCAATGACATTTAACTGTTATTATTGTTAAGCTTTTGTCTGTTTAGTTAGTTCTTAATCTACGTGATTTCTTACAAATGACACTTAATGTCGGATTTTACTGTTTACTACATGCATTAACAGCACAATAGTCCATAGATCAGATTGGTACAAAACCTTCATAATTGGGTGATTTGGGTCACCAAACATTAAAGGCAAAACTGGGGCAAAGAATTGCAGTTGAAAAGTTGATTAATCCAATAAACTAAATTGCAGACTGACATGATCGAAGCAGATCTAGCCCTAACACCACAATAGTCCATAGATCAGATTGTACAAAACATTTATAATTGGGTCACCAAACATTAAAGGCAAAACTGGGGCAAAGAATTGTAGTTGAAAAGTTGATTAATCCAATAAACTATTAACTAAATTGCAGACTGACATGATCGAAGCAGATCTAGCCATGGTCAGTGCATTTCTGCACAATTATTAAAAAATGAAAACAAAAGGCTTAAATTAGTTGTTACTCCATATAGGGTATGATCGTATTTATAATCCCACGAGCCCAAGAAGCGCATCAATCGGAGACAAATATTAGTTTAGCACCAACCTAAGATGTGACATTCAAACCTTCAAAATATCAATCCTATTGATAGTTATCTAGACGTATGCATGTTTTCTAATTTGTAGCAGGTTCTTTACTACAAGAGAAGTTCAGTAATTTATTTTTGTTGTACAGATATAGTGCAAAAGTCAACAGAAAAGATTAATCTAGTGTTTGTTCTAATTGGCATTTCATATGGGTCCAAATATAAAAATAATTCTCCGTAGTTCCTTGTTCACAACCATGCTTTTCCGTTAAAATGCACTAATCAATACATAGTCTTAATCATCACCTTAATATCTCATTATATAGGTAGAGTAACCTAATTGCTTCAATTGTAAGGCACTCTTCCTTCTTAAAAGACTTAACGGTGGCATGTGGATGCATTTATTTCTTTCAAATTATGGATAGCACAGCATTAAATGGTGCATCTACTTTACCTGATATTAAGGGATACTCCGTGCTACACATACTCAAAACATTCGTGGAGTAGCCAAGTTTTTATGTTAAAGTAGTTTCAATTCGTTTGCTAATTAATCTTCCAAGTACCTTAGAAACACATTTAAATGTGTTTCAACTTTCAAGTTAAATATGGGATAAAAATTCATTAGATATGTGCTTTATGCATGCAATTTTTTAAAACACCAATTAAAAACAAATTCTAAATTGCTGTTCAGTTAGTGTCAACACAGTCAAATCGTTTTTTAAATGTTGAGGAGTAGGCACTTACGGTTAAATGGTACAATAAGGTAAAGTTGAGCAATAATGTTTAAATTGAAAAATTAGACACTAGTTTGAGAAAAATTGCATAAAGACAATATGACAGATCAAATGAGACATATGCTCCTTCCCCTTCAGGTCTAACAAAATCAAATACACTCAGAAAATAATAAAGGCAGAAAATAATCTACCTGTCCACTATTAACATAACATAATAAACGACAGAAAATAATAAAGGCAGTACCCCTACTACTATTTCCTTAAAGCTAGCAAACAGCAAATATATCCGCTACCCTTCAATTCCATTTTGTCAGAAAGAACCCATCCAACATGTAGTATCAAATTAACACATTACAGAATGTCAATAGAGAACAAAAAAGAAAATCCAAGCACACAATAGCATGATTTTTATAAAATCAAAGAAAACTGAAAAAAAAAAGAGTAGTTGCAGAAATTACCATAAAGTGCAGAAGCCAAGTTGCCATTGGAAATGAAATCGCTAATGAGAAGCTTCTCATCAGGGGCCCAGTAATAAGCTCTCAACTTCACAATATTAGGATGTTTAACTCTCCCAATGGCTTGAATCTCTCCAATGAACTCCTTATACCTTTGCTCACCACCTTCACCTAACCTCCTAACTGCCACAGGCACACCATTTCCCAGCACAACTTTGTACACAATCCCCAGTCCACTCTTTCCCAAAACATAAGCTGAAGCTCTCAACAGTTCATCGAGCTCAAAATTAAACCCTTTATCAATGGCCACCAGATCTCCATTAGAACCACCAGCAGAATGATCCTTTTCAGAGTCAACTTCTGAGCCATTATCAGAGAAGCTACCAACACAAGGGAACACACATAAGTTTCTCTTCCCATTTCCTCCAAATTTTGCTTTACAAGTGCAACTACAACCACCAGTGTCTTTCTTTTTCCAATACAGATAAACAATAAGTAGTCCTATGAATGCTACTGTACCAGCATTAGCCAAACATATGAGTACGATGGATCGCGTTCTAAGCCCTTTTTTTGGATTAGGTCTTGGGTTTTCCTGTGATGCTCTGTGGCTTCCAGATGGACTTACCGAGCCATTTTTACAAGGCTTTTGTAGAGGGAATCCACATAACTTTGGGTTATTCAAAAATGCATTTGGACCTTGATTTGAAATAGAACCAATTTGTGGGATTTCTCCGGTTAAACTGTTGTTCCTAAGATCAAAGCTAACAGTGAGTGGTAAATTGCCCAAGGATTTGGGGATATTTCCAGTAAAATGATTGAAAGATAGATTTAAAGTTCCTGAAAGAGATTTTAGTTCACCAATATCCTCCGGAATTGCCCCGTTGAATGAGTTGGATGAAAGATCAAGCTGTTCCAAATTGGCTAAATCGGCGAATATACCAACTGGAATTTCGCCGGAGAGTTTGTTCTTCCTCAGAATTATCCGCTGCAGCTGTCGGCAATTCCTGAGGTCTATAGAGAGCGCTCCTGAAATCGAGTTGTTAGATAAGTCGAGATTCTGGAGCCGGGGCAGATTGCATATAGAAGCCGGGAGAGGACCGGAAATGTTGTTATTGTAGAGAAAAATGCTGTGAAGTGAAGATGCATTGAACAGCGGCTCCGGTATAGAACCGTAAAAATTGTTACCGTAAAGATTAAATCTCCGAAGGTAGAATAGACTCCCTAGCTCGGACGGAATATAACCCCGGAGATTTCTCCCGGCGACAGAAATCCCAACTACGCGAGGCTCCGAGGAGCCGGAGACATTCATGCAGGATATGCCAGTCCACCTGCACGGCGTAGCGTCGTTCCCGTCCCAGTCAGCAAACGCCGCGCCGCCGCCTTCGTCCACGGCGGACTTCAGAGACAGCAGAGACAGTCCGTCAGCAGAGAGCGAATCTCCGCGGTCCGTTTGGACCAAAAGGATAACCAAAAGAAATTCTAAACAATAAAAACTAAATCTCGTCATCACTTTTTGTTAATCTTCTAGGGATCAGTGATCACATCTTACATAAAGCAAAGGTTAAAAACTTTTTGAACCTTCCAAACAAAATCCGAAAAAAAAGCTTTATCCGTCCGTTATACTTATGCTCGGCTTTGGAACTTAGTTGAGAATGGCGGAACACCGCGGAGGAGTGGCGATGAAGCGGTGGTTGCAGCCGGAGGTGGCGGAGGAGAACAGATGGAAGCGCAGGTATTTATGAGGTAAGCGAAGAGGAATAATGGTGATGGGGATGTCAGGATAAGCGGGGTCCGCATTCCCGCCAAAAGACAGAGACAGCTTCCTAACAGAAAGGAGTAGTAGCAGTAAACCGAAAGCAATAATATTTCTTCTTTCTTAATTTTCTTCAGTAATCATCCACAGTTCATTACCACTTAATTTCCTTGAGTGCTTGTTTGTGTTTGGTGAGCTTGGTTTTTCTTGGATTCTAAGTCATTTAACAAAAACTTTTATGATTTAAACCTAAGGTTTTATACTAGTACTAGTATCATTTATGTTCACCACAAAAACCTTTGATAACCACCTTCAAAAACTAGTTTTGGATATCTCATTGGGTTTTAGCAGGGGTTTTACCAAGAATTATGTATGTGTGTGTAAATATTTTTAAGCAGTAAAAAAGTAATGAAATTTTAAACTTTGACTCCAACAATATAAATTCCTACAGCCCTCCTAAGCTACCATTTCTGGCTCTGCCAGTGGGTTTTGGAGTATAAACGGGTAGCCCGATACACATTGGCATTCCTCCAAGGCGGGAGTTTGGGAAAATCTCCCATCACAAGGTAGGGGTGGACCGGGCCCTGTCCGGTTCCGGGTCGGGCCCGGCCGGGCTGGGAATTTTGGGAATGAAGCCCAAGACCGGCCCGGGTGTTGACCGGTACCGGTTCGGGCCGGATCAGGCCGGGTATGGGTAATTCTTTTCAATTCATGTTTACAAATTAATTCAAGAAGTGCTACATATAAAAAACTTAAAGTATATTTATTTGAAATATGAACTACAATTGAGAATTGAGAAAAAAATTAAAACATGAAATACATTTTCTAATAAATAATAATCAATTGGAATCTCTGCTACCGTCGGTTGTTTCCTCCATAAAGTGTCGGGTGGGGGTGATGCTAAGTTCTTGAGTTCTACGTTGGGCCTTCAACCAATCGTGGTAGCAAACAAGCGTCTCAAGAGAGTTTGCGTTCAATCTCGTTCTATAATCCGTTAGTACGTTGTCGGCCGCACTAAATTCTTGTTCCACGGCAACTGTTGAAACCGGCATTGATAGCACTTGCTTAGCCATCTTTGATAAAACCGGGAACGTTCTTTCTTTATCCTTCCACCACTTTAGAACGTCAAAGTCATCATCTTCTTCAAAATCAACAGGAAATGTTAGATATAAAGAAAGCTCGTTAACTGAGCTTTGTTCAACAACAGGAGTTGATTTACTTTTTTCATAAGATTGCCAAATGTAGATTTAAAAATAATTTCCCTTTAGATGAAGATGTATGTGTCGGGGGAGGGGGTGCATTTCCATATTGTGCATGAAACTTATTAAATAATTGATAAAATTTATTACTAACATCGTGGTATTCTTGTTTAGGATCTATGGGCTTATCTTCGTACATAGGAAATGGACCAAAAAAAGAAGCATAATAGTAGTCTAAACATTGTTGCAAAACACAAAGTTTATAACGAGGATTGGAAAATTTAAAAACTTTTCTTTCATGTAAGAACAAAAATAATTAACGTAAGAGGCATTAGAAAATTCACAAAACGCACCGGCGAGATTAACAGCTTCACGAAAAAATTGGTTTGAGGTAGGTGCATAAACATAACTAAAAGTTTCAGCTGCATTATTAAAATATACCAAAACATTCATAATTTGTTTGCAAGTGTCGATGTCAGCCGGGTTTATAATATAGTTAGAATATTCTTTTAAAAAAGCAGGAAAATGGTCTTTAAATCTAACAAATACTTTAATTAACTTATCATTACTATTCCACTGAATAGACAAATATTTAGGAAAAGCACAATATTCTTCAACAAATTAAGTTAGACATACCACTCAAATGTTTGGAATCATCATATGAGAAATTATCAAAGGGTTGGCTATTTGCAAACCTCGATATTTGAGTTTGCTTCCCCTTACCTTTGTCTAATTTCGCATACTCCACGGGGTGACGGGCCTTAAGATGCCGTTGGGCGGTCCCGTATCCTTGTGAAATCCCCAAGCTATAATCGTTCTTGCACCACTTGCAAGTTGCGTACCAGATTTGGGTCTTCGGGTCCTTCCACTTATCAAAATTATTTTTCATAAGGGGAGATTTACCTTTCTTCTTAACGGGTTGGGATGGACCAGGCTCGTAGTTGTCATTGTGGGTGTCATCGTTCAGGCCAGGTGCTGTCACCCTCGTCCTCGGCCGTCGCCGGATCCTCCGCATCCTCATCCTCGAGCTCTTCCTCTTCCTCAATGTCGGGGGATGTCACGTTGTTGGAAAAACCGCCCATTATGTTGGTCCAATAGTTGTTGTAGTTGCTCATCAGACATCGCATCCGCATCTCTCCGTTGGTAATCCGTTTTAAAATCATCTCGGCTTTGAGAAGAAGACCTGATATGTCCTTTACTTTTGCGTGAAAAAGGATGATTCCTCGCAATCTCCTTCGTTCCATCTAAAAAACGTAACAAATATTAAATTCTAACAAATATGTTAATATGAGTACAAAAGTAATGCAACTAATAACAGATGTTATAAATTAAATTTTATATGAGAATGTAACAAATATTATAATATATCTAAAATATATATTAACTAGTAAAATTATAGCAAAATATATAGTTTAACCACGTATTTTAGTAAATACTTTCAATCTAACAAGTTTAATAGTTTAATCACCTAAAATTCTAACTACTTTAATAAATAATTCAATCTAACAAGTGTAGTTTAATTAACTAAAATTCCAACTATTTTAATTAATACTTCAATCAAACAAGTGTAGTTTAATGAAATAAAATTCGAACTATTTTTTTTTAAAGTCGAACTACTTTAATAAATACTTAAAACTAACAAGTGTGACTTTAACTAATACAAAAATGACAAATGTAACAATTAACTACTTTTATACTTTAATGAGAAATGTAACAATTAACTAATGAACTACTATAATGAGAAATGTAACAAGTAACTGATGAATTAATATTAATAAAAATGTAACTAATAGGAAAAATGTATGAATGTGTATACTAATTAATGAGAGTGTTGTGGGTGTATAAGTAATAGGATGAATTTAACTAATAATAATTAAAGTGTAAGTAATATATAATATATTGTGTATAGTATATAATATATAAGTATACTACTATAATATGCATTGGTTATTAAGTAATTGAACTTATTTACAACTTGAAGATTGAACTCACCAAATTTGAGAGCTTCTCTCTCTAGGCGGCCGTCTCCCCAAGTTTAGGGTTTTTTCTCCGCTTTCATCTTCGACGAAGTGCGGCTTTCTTGTGTGACCTATGTCCGTCTTTCATGAGATCAATTCTCTTCTTTGACAGACCATAACGTCTATATGGCGCCCAAAGATTGTGTATCCATAGCAGCATGTGGAGAGTTTCGAGGATGTTGTTCATGGTTGAGATCAGAAGGTCATGGGCGAAGCGTGTGGCTAGAAACTGGAATAGATCTGGACTGGAGGAAGCTATAGTACTGCTGGGCCGTCCCCCTCCTAAACCGGCGTCATGGAGTGCAAGAGAGTTTAGGGTTTGGAAGCAGCACTTTAATTTCACTGTTTGTTTGGTATTTATTTTTCATGATGAGACTGCTTATTTTTCTGTTGATTACTTTTATTGTTGTAAGACTCTTGCATTAGGATTGGGTGATGGAAGGTATGCTTTAACCGTCGTTGGCTCATTTATGCTCATTATAGGATCAACAAGTTATATTGCTTTTTTGGAGGTGATTGACTCTAAGTATGGTTCGAGGGCTGACGGTTGTCTTTGGTCCTTTTGTCATTTTACCCCTATCTGAATGTTGTGATATCAATTTAAGCACACTTCTTCCAAAAAAAAAAGTATACTACTATAATATGAGTACTACACTTATATTTAATACTTAAATTAGATGTTATATAAGTAATTATAAGTAAATAACAAGTATATAATAAGTAGATATTAAGTACGGAGTATATTTTAAGTATATATTAAGTAGATAATAAATATGAGTAGATATAATATATGTATTTATAAGTAGATAATAACTATATTAGTAGATATAATTGTTTATGGTACACTTGTTTGATTGAAGTATTAATTAAAATAGTACACTTGTTAAAATATATTTTATTAATAAAATAAGGAAAAATTTATATGAAAAATAACTATAATGGTCATCTACATTAACTTCTGTCAATACAGCCAGAAAAGTAACTCTAACATTATTTTTTCTTATCACGAGTATTACACAATTCAGCGCGTGAATCAAAAGTTATGTATTTGGTTAAAAAATTGACTAATGAGGTTGATATAGCGAAGAAGAGAGTCACGAGACGACCAAAGTTTACCAATTTCACCTAGATCGACCAATTTTTACTAAATCAAATTCACTTACGTCCACTACTTTATTAGAACTTCCCTTGAATCCAAAGGATTATAAAATAAAAGCAGGAAATGAAATAAATAAAATGTAGCAGTGTTTTACATTGTGGTTGATAAGTGAGGTTGTTAAGGAAACTATTTGACCTCTCAAAATTATATGCGGTTAAATTGTAAGACTGTATATTGACTCAATTTTCTAGCATACTTCAGGGGTAGGGTAGGGAGTTGAGGTAGGATGGCGGTAGCGAGGAGCCGAGGTAGGGGAAGGGTGGGGTAGGGGGCAGTGGCGGATCTTGCGATCAAAAGTTGGGTGTTCAAAATTAATTTATCGCCAAAATGTTGAACAAATAATATTATTCAATCCAACAATTGAATATATATATTTTTTTCAACAACAAACAAATGACAAATAAGATTAAATGTATGAGATACTATCTTAAAATACACTATATAAATTATTACATCAATTCTATATGTATATTTTAACATTTAATTTTTAATTTTTTGGGTGTTCACATGAAGGTAGGATGGAGGTAGGGTGGAGGTAGGGTGGGGGTAGGATGGCAGTAGGGTGGGGCTGAGGTGGGG